TTAAGAAGATGCCATATTAAGACATTAACTAATTTTATCTAACATAAATTGTAATTCCACATCTTAAATAAATTCAAGCTAAGTTTGCATTCGATTACTTCTAAAAATGTTGTTTAGAACATTTCATTTACAATCTGTTTAATATTTCATGGCTTAAATGCTTATTTTAAGGTAAAACTACCTTTAAATAGCCTTGTTTATCCTTAGATTTTAATAACATTTTCATAAGTAGATCAACTTTCGCCCGTGGATGCCCACTTAATGCGTTTATATTGGAGCCAACTTGTGGCTCTTATTCAATTTTCACCCTGCCCCGAACCTTGGCATTTGACATTTTGAGGCAAGCAAACGATGTTGCAGCTTCGGTGGCAGCTGCTACAGAAGTTGCAGCAGCAGCAAACCATTCCGTAAGCCAGCGATTTGTTTACACGAAATTGTGGTGAAAAGCTCTCTACCTCTCTCTATTTTTGCAATCTACCCATCTCTTTCCATTTGGAAACAGCACTCTCTTTCTTTCAGCTGGACACGTGGGGGCGCTAATGGCGGTGGGCGGTGGCTGTCAACACCGAATGCTCGGTTATGAATGGCTTTTAATGAAATATTTATGTAACAAGCAATAAGAAGCACTTTTGGCTTCAGGACGGAAGCGAAAGAGATGGCAGTCACGCGTAGAAAGAGCACAGAAAGAGATGGGTATAGGAGGAGAGAGCACACAAAAGCGTTAGAAATAATTGTTCGGCTAGTTAAGTTTGACGCAACGTTGAACTAGATAAAGCCAAACACATAAGCGAATAAACATACACTTGGCACACCAGCACAATCAAGGTCATATTGATAGGAATAGTACAAAGGAACTTGAATATAATTGTTATATAAATATATTACCAGCTAGCATACCATATTTTAATAGTTTAGTTTGAGATTTGTGTGCTTCTTTTACATTTGTATTTTTTCTGTCAGTATTTATCCTTTAATATTATTTTAGATATTCAATCTTGAGATATATTATCACATTTCATGATCTCCTATTTCTTTAGCCCCATCTGTCCGTGCTCCGGGTCTCATATGTGTTTGCCATAAACTTCCCTGAATGGTTGACTTGCCAAAAGTCATTAACAGTCAAGGGCTTTACGTGCCACAAAAGGGAGAGACGATGTTGCAGTCGAAACACAATTGACAAAATGCGGCAAGGACGAACGGGGAAAGGAGCGGGGAAAGTCAGACACAGAACTTATCCTGGCTGCTATGTCTGATATGTCTGGTGGGGTTTATTTGCTCGCCGCCGGCTTATATTCTACAGAGCTTGGCCAAGGAGCATCATGTCTGCCCATGCCAGACAAGAAAACCTTAAAGCATGTCCTTTAAATTAAACTGAAATTTAAAAGTTTAAAGATCTCAAATAATTAAAACAAATTTGTATTTACTAGCTTTAAGTCTTAAGAAACTATTTATATTAACCTTAATTATTTTCCCTTCCTGTCTGTATTCTTATCAGTCCTTCGGCTCAAGTTTGTCCTGCGGAAACTCATCAAATGAAAACCACTCATAAAGCAAGTGTGCGAACAACTTTAACACCGCTACCAACAATCCCCTGGGGTCCTACATAATTTCGAGACCGGCTCCTCGGAGCCTTCGCCCTTCGCACAGAACAGGACCAAGATGTTCCACTTTGCCAGCAGCCAAATCCTGAATTCCTAAATTCCGAGCCCTCACAAAAAAAAGGAAAAAAACGTTTAGGCAAATCTTTGCGCCAAAATCTTGGGCAAACAAGCTCATTACACAGAAGTGCACAAGCAACAAAAAATAAAAGAAAAACCAGAGGAAAAATACGAAGCAACTAAGAGTGCGCCTCGTGATTGAGTGACTTGGCAATCGGGGGCGTGGCAAAATCTGAGGACCATTACGGTCACAGTTTATGACCGCATTTTATTGATACCGCCAAGGGAGCGGATACGAATAAAATAAAAGGCAACCCTAACTGAGTAAATCGGAAGGGCCCCGGGGAAGTACCATAAAGCGCAGCGGGGAAAATTCCAGAGCGATTGCCTTGCAACGCTGGGCGTTTTATGGCGGACACCAAGGGCTATAACAATCACAACCGACTGAGTTCTACTACAATAAACTAATCTAATGCCAGCATCTAATTTGCATGCAGCAACTAAGCAGGCTTCTTTTTTAAGGGACTCTGCCGGATAACCCTAAGAACGGATACCGCAATTCAGCACCAACATTCATTTGCCATTCTGTAAACGCAAATGTCTATTAACAAGCTTCATTTCATTGGCAGAGAATGCGTCTACGACCTAGAGATGGGTTTAATTCAGGGATTCAATAAACACTTGGATTATATGGATTACGGTAGGGAAAAAGAAATTATAATGAAAGTGTATGGTACCTATATAGATACAATATGCCTCTAGGTTTTAGGTTAGACAATGTTGAAAGCCTGCCTTACTTGTTATATATTATTTAAAGTTTTAATTTATCAAGTTAATTTTAAAGTATTTTGAAATAAAAAGTATATATTTAAACAAAATTATGATGGCCAGTGATGTTGTATTAAAACTTTTATTTAAGCTTTGAATAAAATATTTGCATTTAAAGATTCATTTCAGCAACACAATTTAAGTGGACCCTTGTCACTCTAGGATATTAAAGATATTAACTTTAAATAAATAAAATAGTAATAAAATTAAGTAAATAAATGAGATTTCAAGCGATTAATTGTAGTTTCAGTATCACATCTCTAGGATATGCGAAGCCCACGAGACCTGCGGTCCACAGCGCGTGCAAGGACATAAGTAAGGATGGATGCAAGGATGTTTTCCGCCATCCTTCCTGTCCCGAAACTCGTATGTAAATATGTGTGCCCGAGTTGTTGGTTTGTGCGTGCCTCCGATGCAAACTCAATTATTAACTAAGAGGGCCAAAAGGCACACAGCATATACTATATATGTATATATATATGGCACCTTTCGCCCTTGCCATGGCCCTGTTTTAGTTGTAACTGATTGTAAGCCTCTGCCACAATGTCCCCTACACCCTTTTGCCCTCCTTTCAGCAGGATGCTCAACTCAGGGGAAATTTGCATTTTATCATCTCCTGGTTTCCTCCAACCAACTAACCAACCAACCCGCGTCCCTCGTCGCCTGTTATTACTGCCAGGAAGGGCTTTGCTTTTAATTGGTTTTCTTAGGCGAGAAATATCTCAGCCATAGTTTGCGAGGGAATGGGATTGCCTCGATTACCTTGTTGTCGGCGTTGTCGTCCTTGTTAATTTAGTGTTAGGCGGCACTAACTTATAATTGTTTAATTAGCAAGTAAAATGCGGTGAAAATATGTGGAAATTATTGGATTTCCCGTGTACAACACAAAAGGAACCAAGTGAAGGAATGTAAAGGGAAGGAGTGTAAATATCCTTGGGAATTTTCAGATTATGTAAACTATTAAATTTGTTTAGTTGATATAAGGAAAAGCTGTGGAAGTAACTAAAATGGTGAGCTAGATATCTTAAATAAACATTTTTCCCCACAAAGGGTGTAGTTAGCTTTAATTCCTTCCATATGGTTTTATTATTTATGTAGATTAAATTAAGACATCTGATGCGTTTATATTTCTTTATTTTCTACAAGAGTATGAAGACTTTACAAATTTTAGTTCAATGTTCAAGAACCAAGGTTATTATCAATCAATAAATTGCGGTATCAATAATTGTAGAAAGGCACTTAAAAAAAAATTTATAGCATAAAAGAAACTTGAACTAAGTAAAAAACAAATTGGTCAAAGTCCTTCTTTAAAATTGTTATCATAAGTAAAGCTTTAAACTCTTTAAAAATTTCTACTTATTAATATAACAATTTCACTAACTCAACTCACAAAAATATAATTATAAAATAACTCTTATTTCTACCCTTTTAATAACTCAAACTTTTTCCACAGTGCACTCGTACAATTCACATTTAATAAGCTAAAAGCATTTTAGGCGCCCCTTCTGAAGATATTTATCTTAAACATATGCGCATTATCCTCTCCTGCCACTGCGTGTAAGCGGTTTCATTATGCCAACAATTGAGTGAGTACATTGAGTAAATATTAACCCTTTCAGGGTTCTAATCGACCAGTCATGAAGTTAGTACCACTAGAGAAGCGAACAGGAACAGGCACTACCCAAGGAACAGAACAGAAAAGAAACTAAAGCAGCCACAAAATGATCAAGATTATGAATTGGTTTTCAATGGTAAAAATATGGAATATTTCAGTATTCAGTATTTGATGAAATTCACAAATCCAGGTCATAGGCCTCATTCCCCTGAATCGCCAGGAGGTGGGTTCGAATGTTATAGTGGATTATGCCATGATGTTCATTGTGCCCATCATTTATGTGGCCTGCTATTTGACCATCAATTGGATGCATGCCTTTGGTGTCTGCTTGCTGGATTCCTGCAACAGTGTCTGCAAGCTGAGCAATAATCTGTTTATGCACCTGGGCGCCTTCCTCTACCTGACCATCACCTTGATGAGCCTGTATCGCCGCAAGGATTTCTTTCTGCAGTTCGACGAACGATTGAATGCGATCGATGAGGTCATCCAGAAGTGCCGTCGAGTGGCAGAAATGGACAAGGTTAAGGTCACTGCGGTGAAGCATAGTGTGGCCTATCATTTCACCTGGCTTTTTCTATTCTGCGTGTTCAGCTTTGCCCTATATTATGATGTCAGGGCGTTGTATATGTAAGCTATCGCGTACTTGAAAATAATTTTTGTTAAGAGGAATAACAAGAAATCCTTGCACCTTAAACTTTAACTATAGCTAAAACAGTAAACTGTTACCTCATTTCCGCAGGACCTTCGGCCACTTCGCCTTCATTCCGTTCATGGTTTCCAGCTTCCCGTACTTGGCCGGCAGCATTATCCAGGGCGAGTTCATCTATCACGTGTCGGTCATCTCGCAGCGTTTCGAGCAGATTAACGCTCTGTTCGAGAAGATTAACCAGGAGGCCCGCCATCGCCATGCACCCCTCACGGTCTTCGATATCGAGAGCGAAGGGAAGAAGGAAAGGAAGACCATTACGCCGGTAACGGCCATGGATGGCAGGACGACTGGCACGTTTGGCAATGAGCACAAGTTGGCTGGTGAAATGAAGCGCCAATTGGGACAACAAAAGAACGATGAGGACGATGTGGACTCCAGCAATGATGAGGACGAGGATGATTTTGATTACGACAATGTCACCATTGCCGAAAATACAGGGTGAGAAGGAAACGATTTAGTGGATTTACAAAGCACTAATTTCTGATTAATTAATGGTTGACGGTTGTTGATAGTTCTATTTATATTTATGGGAAAGAGAACGTTGAAAGCTTTAAAAGCATTCCTTCTATAATTTATCTTACATATTATTATGTCTTTAATATATATTCTTCTCAACCAGAACCACCTCGGAGGCCAATCTTCCCGATCTGTTCAAGTTGCACGATAAAATCCTATCACTAAGTGTGATAACAAATGGAGAGTTTGGGCCACAGTGTGTACCCTATATGGCGGCTTGTTTTGTGGTCAGCATCTTTGGAATTTTCCTCGAAACAAAAGTCAACTTTATAGTGAGCGGAAAGAGCCGACTGTTGGACTATGTGACCTATTTGTATGTGATCTGGAGCTTCACCACCATGGTGGTGGCCTACATCGTGCTCCGTCTGTGCTGCAATGCCAACAATCACTCCAAGCAATCGGCAATGATTGTCCATGAGATCATGCAGAAGAAACCCGCCTTTATGCTTAGCAATGATCTTTTCTACAACAAGATGAAGTCCTTTACCCTGCAGTTCCTTCACTGGGAAGGTTACTTTCAGTTCAATGGAATCGGATTGTTTGCCCTGGACTATACTTTTATATTTTCGGTAAGCGTGGTTTGCTTTAAAGTTAGTATAATTACTCTAAATATTTAACTAAATATATTTTCCAGACTGTGAGTGCCGCCACATCCTATTTGATTGTCCTGCTGCAGTTCGACATGACTGCAATTTTGCGCAACGAGGGTCTGATGTCGTAAATGGTTTAGGTCAACTCAAAAAAAAAATATGTTAATAGTTTTTAACTACAGTTTAAAACCCAATTTATAGCTCTTTCGTCAGTGTTAGGAACAACGGCGGAGAAATACTCTTTTCTTAAAAATGATAAATGCAAAACATGTCAAGTCTTGTGCTTAGTTTACTTGCTCAAACTTAAATCGATGTACCTTTTAAAGAGATTGATGGAAATTACCTATAAATTTTATTCTTTAAATTATTTTAAAATATTATAAAAAATAAAACACTCAAACGATAATTAAAAACTTACGTTTAAGGAATCATAACTTTCTAAGCTAATATTTACGTTGATTTTAAATCTCTCAAATGTTATATAATTATATCCAATAAAATACAAATGGCTAGGCAATTAGAAATATATTCTGTTAATTTCCGACTTTAAATAGGGAAAAACTTTCTATTTATTTATACAAAAAATCCGAAGACAATTTCTCAGAGTATCCAAAGCTAGGAAAAAGAAGTACAGAGAACATTGAAGGCTTCTGTTAAGCGCCGCGATAATCGCATCAGCCAACACTTTGGGCTCCCCATGAAGGATGCCCAAAGGAGCGTGATGGGCGGGGCCAGAGGTTACTAACGCAATTTCCATCAAATGTCAATTGAAAAACCCGATTTGCCAGTCATCAGTCAGGGCCTCTTTTCCAGAGCTCTCCCGTCCCACAGTTTTGCGGCCGTCAAACGGAAGCCAGAAGCCAGGGGAAAGTGGGTCAGGAGAAAGGATGCTGGGTGGATAATAAAAAAAGAACATGGAGCAATTTCCGCTTTCAATCACGTTTAGTGCAGCGGAAATGTTTGCAGAAATATGTTTTTTTTCCTTTTTTTACTAGCTATAGAACTCTTCTCCCCTTTGTAAATGCAAATCTTTCAAATACGGTCAGGGGGAACTGGGTTATAAATTACATTTCAATTTTAGTTGAATCTAAATATTCCAATGGGAATATACTTTCGATACTGTCAGAGAAACTCAATTAATTGCCCATTATATGCCAAGGGATGCGAATTAATTGATTTTTTCAGCCACACCCACTGTCTCCACTTCGAGCAAGTCTCACATTACACACTTTATAAAGGCACTGAAAGAAGTTAATTGTTGCTCTTACTAACTAAACTAAATATAAGTTATCGAGTTTATGAATAAATATTTCAAATTAAGGATTAACATGAAAGGCAAAGGGTCCCAAATAATTACCAAAACAGCTCATTCTAAATAAGCAAAAGAACACAAAAGATACTATACGAATATACTATGAAATATAATTTAATTTATATTAGAATATTTAATTCTAATTTAAACTATTAAATTTATTATTAATTACATTAAATTTATCTATTTCTGTGCGTGTACGTACACACAGTCTGAGTTAGTTGAACACATCCCGAACACGTAAATCAATATGTGGCTCGATTGGCTCGTTTGCACATGAAACCCTCCTACTCCATTAGGAGAAATAAATTAAGAGGCAAAGGGACCTGGGGGAGACAGGGTGAAATGTGGTTGTCTTGGTCAGTGAAAATGACTGGAAAACAGAAGCAACAGGCAACACACATATTACCTGCAAATTACGTCAACTGTTGCTGGGAGCTAAACCAAGGGAAATGCGGATTGAGGGTTATCTGAGAGGGTAGGGTTCTTAGGGTGAAAATCAAGAGTAGGTTAAACTCCAGTCTGTTTTCTTTTTAAAGTTTAAAGAGGGACTGATAAAAACAAGACAGAGAAAATATTTTAGAGACATAAAAACTAAAGTTTTTTGTTCAAGATATATTAAAATATGCAACTCTAAATATGTTGATATATTAAATATATTTTAATAACATTTTATAATAAATTCACCCTTGGTTTTTCCCAGTGAAATACGGAGTGTGACCCACGTGACCCTCCCAAGGCAATGTGAAATGTCAGGGCACTTTCAAGAGTTCATTTAGACGGTAGCAAATTCTATACTGAAACGCTTAATACATTGGCTGTTGTACAGAGAAGAGACAAATGCCAACAGGTTGTTTGCTGTTGTTTTAATAATTGAGGCTAAAAATGCAATGGCCATTTGTTGAGGATAGGAGGTCATCAAAGGACCACCCATTGGGTTAAACATGGGAGGTATAATATGAGTGCGTTTGTGGGTGAGTGAAAAGCTTATTTATTTCGCATTTGGGGTTGGGTTGTTTATGCCCCGCATGGGTCTCCCATTATCTACTTATGCATATTTTATATTACAATAGCTTCTCTTTTGGAAAACAATTTTTATACTTAGAAAGGAGCAATTTATGAAGGTAATTGGTATATCAATTCTTATGTTATTTCGATCCCTGTAGAGATAATACTATGATTATGGTTTTTGAGACTGCAAAATTTTAATTTTTAATTTTACACTATTCTTATAAATAAATTTTAATAAATATCTATAGTAAATTAATATTTTCTATTTAAATATTGTGTACTTAAATAATCATAATTAACCCATCTATCACATTCAATTTTAAACGTTAATTTTTCTGGACTGATGTACATTACACACTGATGCATGAAAATGCAGTGACACCATAATGAAAACTCTGAAACAAGCCGAGGAAAGCTTTCACACTACAGGTGTCTGTCCAAGCGAGATAGCAACATCAGCGACACCGAGAGAAAGTTCAACAGAAGAGAGCGGAAGAGTGGCAGCCAGAGCGACAAGTGTGGTGAGTTTCGCCATTATCCTTGAGAACGCATTCACGCTTGGCCAAGCGAAGGCAAATTGTGCGAGGACCGTTAGGAGAAATCAAATCAAACTGATAACAGCTGTATGGGAAACGTACAGAGAAAGAGAGAGAGAGGGGTGCAAAGGTAAATCGAGAGAGAGAGCACTCTTCAAAGAGAGACCAAATTGTGAAAAAGCACGAGGGGAACTTTTCCTTTAACTGGAGCCTCAGATAACGGGACAGTTCGTGGCGGAGTTGCGAGTGTGTCGGTTGTGCAACAGCGGAATAACGGTACACCACAACAAACCTCTAAGAGAAAGAGAGAAAGTGTGTGCGGGTGTCCAATTGTGAGTGTGTATGGGTGGCAGCCTCAGTGGCCACTGTTGTTGGAATTAATAACGAAAGTCCTGTGCGTTCGTGTGTGTTTAATGATTAAACTTTAATTGAAATCAACATAATAAAAATTAAGTGGAAAATAAAGAATAGGAAAATTTCAAAAATAATTTCAAAAGGACACTAAGAGCCAACAAAGTGTTGTTCAAATAAATCAAACTCAATCAATATAATAAGCATTCAAATATTAAAAATAATTTCAAATAAAATACAATTTTAGGAATCTGTAAATTTAAGCACAACACAAAAATAACGTGTTTTGATGCAAACTCTGTTGAATAATCAAGACGAGCAGACTGCGCAGTTTGGCGCCGTGTGGGCGTCTGCCCAAAAATCTAAGAAGTAAATGGAAGAACAGGGCCAAAATACATAAATCCCACCTAGACAGCAAACGGTGTGTCTGCCCCTGACTTTTATTTAATGCTTATTTTTGTAGGTCTCATTGGCAAACCAAAGAGTTTTGCCTTTGAATTTAGATTTAGGTTTCCTCAAAATTCCAACTAATATATATATATATATAAGGCAGGCTTCTGATATGAAATTTCTTGAGAAATTGTTAAAAGCGCTTATAAATTTAATGAAATTTGAAGGTAGAACAATTCACGCATTATGAATTTCAAGAATTCTCTTAAAAATAATATTGTCTGAAGCACTTTGTTTAAAAAGCATTTCAAAATCTTCAATTCTTGATTTTCCAAGATGTTTTTGTAAAAATTTTGGTATATGAATATTTTATTAAAGATTTCATAACTTAGATAACATTGAAAACTGAGTGAAATATAGTAACTTTTTCTAAATAAAGTGATATATATATATTATAATATATAAAATATATATATAATATAGAACAATTCACGCATTATGAATTTCAAGAATTCTCTTAAAAAATAATATTGTCTGAAGCACTTTGTTTAAAAAGCATTTCTAATTCTTAAATACTTGATTTTCCAAGATGTTTTTGTAAAAATTTTGGCATATGAATATTTTATGGCTCAGAAAACATTTAGAAAGTAATTAATATATTTTCAATATATATTATAATATATATATATATCACTTTATTTGGAAAAAGTTACTATATTTCACTCAGTTTTCAATAGAAAGGCATAGAGAATTATAAAATATTATTAGTATTTTTTGTCTAGTGTTTCTTTAAAAGAGTTATTTATATTTAAAAGTTGTTTAACGCTTGAAAAAACGTAATTTTTAGTGCCTAGTGTCTTTATGATTAAAATTATTATTATATTTTAATTACTGCTTCTTTACATTACCTTTACTTCTTATTGTTTATTCTAAATTAATTTAGTGTTCAATTGACTGAAGCTGTTGTCTAATTTTTCGAAATTATAAGAGCATTCAACCTTCTGAATTCTTTCAATGAAAAGGCAACTTTCCCCGGCATTTTCCTTTGGCTTTTCTTCTGTGTCTGCTTCTTTGCGTCTCGCTTTCACTTGGTCATGAAAATCAAAGTCCCCCGTGTGCGCTGTCAATGTATTGAGACCCCCACATCCCTACGTGTATGTGTGTGTGGACTGTGCCGGTGTGCGTGCACACACACACCCACACACACATTATAGGGGTGTTTGCTGCGGGGGCGTGAAAAGTTTGTCTTCCTGTTTGAGTTGCGTATTTGGGCGCCATTTCAGCATTCCGCTTTTTATTTACTACAAATTGCTTTGCATTTTTGTACCATTTAATTTTCCTTTTTGGCATTTTTTAGCTTGGTTTTATATTAATTTATTTTGTTCTGTTATTGCGTTGAATGCGCTGTTGGCAATTTGTTAGGAAATAAAATATAAACGCCTCTGCCGTGGCTGTAATGAAATATTGTAATTAACTTTGTTGCCAGCGGCCAAACCGAAGAGAAATTTGCGACGTTAATGAGGCGGCAACA